CCCGCCCACCTTCTATACCCCGCCCCCTTGTTATTCTAGTCCCGCCCACCTTCCCTTGCCATTCATCCAGGTTCTTGCCTCGCCCAAGACCATGCCTCTGGCTTTTTGAACTCACTTGTCTGGGTTGCATCGCTCCCAAATCAGTCCCTTCCCGGAGTTACTTCTCCCTCACCCATTCCCCACCAGCTCCTTCTATCCCAGATTTTCTCTCCTCCAGAGTTCTTTCCTGAGATATGCTCCCGCCACTTGTTTCCCCTAATTTCGCGTTCGCATTTTCATCTTCCTCTAAATATCCTCCTGCGTTTTGTCCTCCCAGTCCTACTTCTCCGAATTTCTGTGCCCTCCAGATCCTCATCCTGCCCAGGCACGCCATTCCCCAACCTGCCACATCCTCAGTTCCAACTTTCTCATTCAGAAGGTTCTTTTCTCATTCAGGGAATTCCTTCTCCCTTCATAGAGTCCAACCCCCATTTCGATCCACCCATTGTCCCCTCTAGTTCTTCCCTAGCCACCTGTTTCCATCTTTCCCCTTTCGGATTTCATGTCCCTCCAATTCTGTTTCCCCTCTTGGCCCACCACCCCTTCCAGTTCATTTCCGATTTCCTTCCCTCTAGATTCATCTCTCCAGAGTTATACTCCCCCTACCCTCGTTGCTGGTCATTATTCCCTCCCTAGCCTCGGATCTATCCCTGCCCTTTTAGTTCTCTCATCCTGAGTTCTGTCCCCACCCCTTGAGTGTGTCCCCTAGCATATTTCTTTACCCCTGAGTTCTGTCCCCTCCCCTGGGATCTATTCCTGCTTTGAATTTTGCCCACACCCTCTGGAACCCGATCCAGGTATACATCCGTGAGTACTTTCCCGGCCAATGAGTTCTATCCCCTCCCTCTGGGATCTGTCTCCGCCCCCTGGGATTTGTCCCCGCCCTCTGAATTCTTATTGCACCCCTGAATTCCAGCCCTGCCCCTCTGGGGTTGAACCTCTACTGTCCTCGGCCATCTCCAGCCCGCAGGCAGGTCCTGCTCCGCTCCTTTCGTCGCCAGCCCCTTTACCCGACGCCGAGTCCACCTCTAGATCCAGCCCCCAGGAAGGTGCTCTTTTCCCCATCGCCTCCCTGCGTAGGGCCAAAAATGCATTTGGGATTAAAATTTCACTATGTGGCACAGGTCCGCGAGGGAGTGGGAGGGAGCAGCCAGCGCGACGGGTGGGCGCCAAGGACGGGACGCAGCCTCTCGCCTCTAGCTTTGTCTCGCTGGGTCTTTGGGTGTCACAGTTTTGCCTGTGTTTGAGAAAACCTCGAATTCTTAGGGAGGAGAGGCTGGGGGCTGGGACTCCTGGGTTCGAGGGAGGAGGGAGCCGGGAGCTCGGACTCCAGAGTCTGGGGGAGGAAAAGACCGCGGAGCCTTCCGCACGCGCCACTCTGCGGCGGCAGAATCCCCGGTCTGGGTGTGGAGGCGGCGGTAGCGGCTCTGAGCCAGGTGTGAAGGTGGAGCAGATGGTGAAGAGGAGGGAGTGGGAGGGGAGCCCGCCGCTGCCAGATCCCGAGACTTCGCCGGAACCATCACCATGGAGACCGCGGAAGGCAGAGAGGACCCAGCCCCACATTTTCGGGACCCGGGAATGAGTTCTTCAGCCTCCCACGGAGGGTTCCTGTGCAAACTACAAGTCCCAGCGGCCGCTGGACTTCACCGTTTGCTTCTGAATGACCGCATACTCAGAGGGCTGCTGGGAGTTGTAGTTCTTTGAGACAATGGACTGAAGTTGCGTTGCGCCCTCTGTTGGACATGGAGCCCAAATTCGCTCCTTCTGAGGACCAAGGGATCTTACTGAACGTCATCCCCAAACCCATTTCACTTTCTTACCACCCAGTTCATTCATTTCCAGCCACACTGGCCACCTGGCTGTTCTTTCAACATCTACCACCGAGGCTCCTGCATTTATCTATCCTCCTACGATTCACTATGGAAGAAGAGGATGTTGGCAATCTTTCATTAACTGAACAAATAGTTCCTACTAATGCTGAAGCTGAAGCTCCAATATTTTAGCCACTTCTTGTGACCATCCGACTCATTGGAAAAGACCCTGATGCTGGGAAAGACTGAGGCAGAATGAGAAGGGGGCAGCAGAGGATGAGATGGTTAGAGAGCATCACCAACTCAATGGACATGAATGTGAGCAAACTCCAGGAGATAGTGGAGGACAGAGGAGCCTGGCAGCCCATGGGGTCAAAAACAGTTGGACAGACTCAGAGAGCGAACTGGGGGTCAGGCATTGTCACACTACAGGGTACATCGCACTACTGAGAGTAACACTATCGGGGACCCCCAGAGGAGGAAAGCAGGGAGTATCAGAGAAAACCTGAAGGATTGAAAGGCTTTCCAGGGAAATCGCACTAAAAAGGAAAACTGGGAGGGTGGGGGCAAGGTGTGGGTGGAAAGTCAGATGAGCCCTGTGAGGGCAAACAATGAGATGTACTGGAGTAGACCTGGGTAGGGGTACTAGAGAAAAGGATCCTACCAAGGGGAACTACAGAAAGGTGCAAAAAGCCAGTGTAGTTCACCGCGGTTAGCCTGAGTGACTGAAGAGACAAAATGGAGTGTGAAAGGGACCAGATAGCACAGAGCCTTGAGTGCTCAGCGGAGCAGCTTGGACCTTCTCCCAGGGGTGCTGGAAAGCCAAGGAGGGGCCATGAACAGGAGCTGGGCAAGGTCAGCTCTGAGACCTTGTTGGGGACAAACAAGGGGTGAGACGAGAAGTTAGGAGGCCAGGGAGAACATCAGGGGAAGAGGTCAAGGCCTGAGCTGGGGCAGTGACCTCTATGGGACTCCAGTCCAATGTCCATCTTCCCTCCCATTCCCATGTACCCTAGCCAGACACAAGACAAAGGCAAACATCTTTTATTTCAGTTTTAGAGAAGCCACCAGCCTCTCCCCTCAATATAGAAGCACAGGAAGACATCCGGTCAAGAAGGCACTGACAGAAGGGGCATCGCCACCATCAATTGCTGGGGAGAGAAAGCAGAGAGAGGATTCAGAGCCCAGGGGTCCAGCCCCCTGCCCCCTCCACCCTCAGATCCAGGAGTCTAGGCCTCCCAGGGTTCCTGGCTTCCCCAAACGTCAGCCCCCCCAGGTACCTTTCTCTTCTGATGGAAGGCTGCCTTGCTCTCATCACAGTTGATCCGCAGGGGGATGTAGGTATCCAGATGGTACAGCTGCTGGGGGCCCCCCATCACCAGGCGATTCTCCCCGACTTCCAACGACAGCCCCAGAGCACCATCCTGGAGGTGCAGGAGAAATCAGTCCACCCTTCCCTTCCCAGCAGCAGGATGATCAGAACATGACCAGAGAGAGAAGCCTCACATGTTGGGATGCCATATTTAAAGAGTCTAATCTCCCAGAAAAAAGGTGAAACTCAAAAGTGTTAGTCACTCAGTCGTGCCCCACTCTTCGAGACACCAGACTGTAGCCTGCCAGGCTCCTCAGTCCATGGAATTTTCCAGGCAAAAATACTGGAGTGGCTTGCCATTTCCTTCTCCAGATCTTCCCAACCCCGGGATTTAACCTGGGTCTCCCGCATTGCAGGCAGGCTCTTTACCATCTAAGCCACCAGGGATGCCCGGGGAAAAGGTGGGACATATTAATACAGGTCTGGGCACTGTAAGGACAGCACCGGAAGCCGGCCTGCAGCCCCCAGGGGACAGAGCAGGCAGCTGGGCTCACAGGGCAGCACTAGCTGCTCACAGGCTCACACTGTTCTAGCAGCATTCTTTGGAATCTCTCCCATCACTCCTTCTCCAAGACCTCAAACATCACGGGGATGTGCTCACCAGCTTGGGGAGGTCGATTTCGGCCAAGAGGAGGTCAGGGGCCTCCAGCCAAAGGCTCAGGTGAGGCTTCTCAGGGCTGGGGAGGAACAAGACCCAGAACTCAGGAGAGCCGCCAGGACTTGGCGAGGACTATCGCCTCTCTTCCTCCCTCCCAGCCCTGAGGCCTCAGGACACCTTCCCAGGGGAAATTCCGCTTCTCTTCCCTCTGTGTTCCCAGAGCCCCAGGACCCCGTCCCGAAGTATGGAGGCAGATAGTACAAAGAATGTCGGGGAAACAGGAGATAGGGGCCCCGTCGAATGCCTACCATGCCTCAGGTCTCGTAGAGCTGGGCGTGTACAGGTTCCCCAGCTCCTGGATCCGAGGACGCTGCTGGGAGCGGATATTTTGCTGGGAGATGGAGCCCAGGAAAGGTCTGTTCTTCAGTATGCGCCACTCTGAGGGGAAGGAGCACAGCGCCACAGGGCACATGGGTCCAGGTTTCCTTCTGCTCCTTCTCTTCAAGGGAAGAGGCTCCGCCCTCTGCCTAGGAGGCCAGGGGTCTGACCACACCCCCACGCTAGACTTCAGAAAGCCTGCCTGCGCTAGCCCCGCCCCTTCTGGGCTCTCCAGACCCCGCCCCTTATCTGAAATCCCGGGCCTCTTTCCCTCTCCTCGAACTCTCTTCAAAGCTCAGTCTCTTCAGTCATGGCCAACTCTCTGCGACCCCGTGGGCTGTAATGTGCCAAGTTCCTCTGTCCACGGCATTTTCCAGGTAAGAATACTGGGGCGGGTTGTCATGCCCTGCTCCAGGGGATCTCCCTGAGCCAGGGATCGAACCCGTGTCTCCTGAGTCTCCTGCAGTGTAGGTAGATTCTTAACCGCTGAGCCACCAGGGAAGCCCCCTACAGCCCAGAGGCTAGTATAATCCCTGTCCACACTAGTCCCACTTCTCGCAGGAGCTGCCCCCCTAAAATCCACCGGGTTAGGCTCCTCCCGGTGGCACTGGCCCCACCCCCTCACCTGGATTCAGCTGCAGGCCGTATTTGTCCTCAAGGCCCTCCCTGGCGATGGTGATCACGAGCTCTCGCAAGAAATCGCTGTTCTAGGGGTGAGAGAGAAGAGATGCGGTAGGGCTGAAGGGGTGGAGGGAGAGGCCCCGGCCCAGGCCTCCCCCGCAGCCCCGCCCCCAACCTGCATCCTCCGGAAGAAGTCGCTGTTGACAGCTACGTCGTAGGCGGTACAACCCTGGCCTTCTGCGGGGAGAGAAAGGGGGTGAGACCCCCCAGCCCTCGGTGGGAACCCCCTGGCCCAGACACAGTCAAGGAAAACACAATCAAGGACAGCAGCCACAGACCCAGACAGACCCAGAGACAATTAGGAAGTCAAAGATACTGAGCTTGCCAGTCTGGACTCATACCCACGACCTCGTCTCTAGTCTTTTCCCCTCTGGCCCTTGCCCACCAAGTCCCAGAGCTCACCCTGACCCTCCCCAGTTCACAGTCCTCCCAGGGCTCCCCAGCGCCACTGGGGGAAGGCTGAGTTCTTCAGCCTGACGCTGGAGGCCCTGCGTGGTTAACCCCCTTCCAGCTGCAGAGAATTTCAGTTCTCTGGCACTTCATCCCTGTAAATCTCCCATCACTACTGATCACTGACCAACTGAATCATTTCTCCAGCCTCTGGACCCCTCTCTCCTCTCTGCCTAGAACCCTCTTCTCTATCTTGGCCTGATGAGCTGCTCTGATTCCTTCCAATCTTATATCCAATGTGCCCTCCTCCAGGAAGCCTTCCCTAATCCTTTAGTGGGAGTGAAGAACCCCCTCCAACCCAGCACAGAATCACACCATATTGAAATTGCATCTGCTTCCTCTGCCCTCATCCAAGACTGAGAGTTTCTCAAGGGCAGATTCTGGGTTTTGATAAGTGCCTACTCCCCAAGGCACTGGCCAAGGCATCATCCCAAGAGGCTTAAGGGACATATGTGAATTGAAAAAACAAGGATATAGAGACAGAAACTCAACAGAAAAGAGATTAGACAAGGCAGTGACATAGAGACAGGGGAAAAGGGTGCAGGAGAAAACAGGGGTGAATGAGAGCTGGCCAAGGACTAGAGTCAGATTAGCTAATGAGCACCTGCCCAGCCCCACTCTCTCCTGGGGTGAGGCAGGGAGAAGTGCCAGCCTGACCAGGTGAGTAGAACCAGGACTGCCCAGTGAGGTTGTGGATACCCAGGAGGTTAAAGATATGCCTTGGGGAAAAGAATCAGATAGGGGGTTGGGGGTGCAGGAGAACGAGTTTCTAGGTTCTGAGGGAGGGTGGTCCAGGGCACTGGAATCTTTGGTCCTAGGGAAGAAAGGACCATGGGGGTGGGGGTGGGGGGTAGATTCCTGGGTCTTCTCAAGGCACTGACTTGCATCCACTTCCGCATGTGGCTCTCCCAAACTCATGGGAATGCGAAACCCAGCCTGGTCTTCCTCCAGCATTTGAAGCAGCTCATCCTCAGTCAAGTCAGCCGGCGGAGGGATGGAGGGAGAGTGACAGATGTTGATGAAAACCTTCCCTTCAGCTGAGTTGGTCTTGATGCAGAAACCTGGTGGGAATGGGTTTGTCCTTGACCATCTGTCTGTGCATGGGTCTCAGTGTCCATCCTTCTTTTGATCTGTTCCCCCTCCTTGAGTATTAGTCTTCCACTTTCTGGGTCTCTTCCTTGAGATTTCTCATTCTCTTTGAATCTCTGGCCCCCAAGTCACCCATTCTCTCTATTTCTTTCTAAAATTTTTATTGGAGTAGAGTTGTGTTACTTTCTGCTACACAGCAAAGCAATTCAGTTCTACATACACGTATATTCACTCTTTTTTAGATTCACTTCCCATACAGGTCATTACAGAGTACTGAGTAGAGTTCCCTGTGTTACACAGTAGGTCCTATTAGGTTGTTTTTGTTTTGTTTTGTTTGACTTTTTGGCCACTCTTAGGAGCATGTGGGGTCTTGGTTCCCTAACTAGGGATTGAACCTGAGCCCTCTGTAGTGGAAGCTTGGAATCTTAACCACTGGACCACCAGGGAAGCCCCTAATTATCTATTTTATATATGTGTGTGTTAGTCACTCAGCCATGTCTGACTCTTTGCAACCCCATGGACTTGTAGCCTGCCTGGCTCTTCTGTCCATGGAACTCTCCAGGCAAGAATACTGGAGTGGGTTGCCATTCCCTTCTCCAGGGGATCTTCCCAAGCCAGGGATCAAATCCAGGTCTCCTGCATTGCAGGCGGATTCTTTACAGGCTGAGTCACCATATAATAATAATAATAATATATATATATGTCCATCTCAATCTCCTAATTTAGCCCTCCCCGCTCTTTGGATCTCAGTAACCTCCCTGCTTTCTCTGGGTCTCTGTTCACTCTCCAAGGCCTCTATACCCTGCTACTGTGTCTCCCTCCTCCCTCCTCTCCCCCCAGTCTATGTCCACCTCTTTCTGGGACTCTATCCCTCTCTCCTTGGGTTTCTGTCTTTCTCACCAGGTTGAGGCTGTATCTGTGTGGATTCTGGTCTGCTTGTCTGGGCTTGCTGGAGCTCCTTGGAGGCCTGTGTGAAGAAAAACAATTTCCAGGCTTGGCATTTGTGCTCTCAGAAGCCCCTCGTTGGTTCCTCAAGTGTTCAATGAGCACTGTTTACCTATATGAGCTAGGCAGGGCATAAGACATACTACGCCCCCTTCCAACTTTGAGGAACCTGAGGAACAACTCCAATCCTACTCCTATTCCATCCAGAGTAGCAGATTTAAACAACTACAACTCCCATAGGACCTGCTGCCTCCCCAGTGCATGCTGGGAACTGTCGTCCCCTTTCTGAGCGCGCGCTCACACGTTCACAAACACACCCCAGAAAAAAGAAAGAAAGAAAGAAAGAAAGAAATCCCCCGAATCCCCTGGGACCCAGGAGTTCATTCAGTCTGCACCTGAAGCAGCAGCTCCTCGAAACGCGACGTCTCAGCGCCCATCGTCTCTGCATCGTTCAGCTCCGGCACCAGCAGCTTCGAGTCGGCCATGGCCCTGCAACAGACCTGGGCGTCCTCAGCAACCCCGACGTCAGGGACCTTCAGCGGGAACCGAACTCTGAGGCCTGCTTCCCGGCCCTCAACCGACTCCCGACACCCACAATTCTGTACGAAAATCTGCGAACCTAGCCTGAGACTATAATTTCACTCAGACCAGTCACTGCGTCAAATCTCTCGGGAGCCAGTATCTCTAGACTAAGTGCCAAATATGTAAATAACAGCCACTCTTCCGGTCTCTGCGCAACCAGGAACTCGGGTAGGCCACACTTCCTACTATCGGAAAGTTCATTCACCAATCCTGCAACCGCATTCCTAATCACAAACCAATCCAGTCTAAGTCTGAAGCCACGCAACTCTCTCAACCAATCAAAACTAAATCTTGGTAGTCACTAAATGACACACTTCCTGTGTAGTTTAAAGCCACACTTCCGCCCCTTCCCGCCCGCCACAAAAGCCACACTTCCGCCCCTTCCCGCCAGCTACATCTGGCTAGATTACTGGGCAAAGCTAGCATACTTTTAAAGCCTTAACCTCAGTGAAGTGAAAGTCACTCAGTCGTGTCCGACTCTGTGTGATCCCATGGATTGTAACCCGCTAGGCTCCTCTGTCCATGGAATTTTCCAGGCAAGAACACTGGAGTGGGTTGCCATTCACTTCTCCAGGGGATCTTCCTGACCCAGGGATCGAACACGTGTCTCCTGCATTACAGGTGGATTCTTTACCGTCTGAGCCACCAGGGAAGCCCCTTAACCTCAGTGTCCATCCTAAAGACTCCTGTCTGATCTCAATCACCTCGTCCTCAAGAGGTAGATTCGATTCTCAAATAAAGGTATTTCGGAGTAAAATCACTCTTTAGATCAGGATGATGGGAAGACACCAATTTGGCCACTCTTCTAAATCTGAAGGGTTCGTAACTATTTGAAGGCACCCATATTTTCGTTCTGGGATTCCCCGTTGGCTCAGCGGTAAAGAATCAGTCTGCAAAAATAAAAAGAATCAGTCTGCAATGCAGGAGCCGCAGGAGACAGGGGTTCGATCCCTGGGTTAGAAAGATCCCCTAGAGGAGGGCATGGCAACCCTCTCTGGTATTCTTGCCAGGAGAATCCCATAGACAGAGGAGCCTAGCTGGCTACAGTCCATGTGATCGCAAAGAGTCGGACACGACAAAGCGACTTAGCACACACATTTTTATTCCCCCGCCTTTGAGGACTGCGCATGCTCCAAACTGCACTTCCCCCGCGCAGACCTATAAGCGGAGTAACCGGGTGCTAAAGTGGAGTTACGCCCTATCTCCTGTAGCTCCGCCCTTTGGGCTAGAGGGGGCGGTGCTGCCCTTCGGACCTCCAGGTTCCTTCGGGCAGAGAGCCCCGCAGTCCGTGGAAAACAGTCTGAGAGTGATGGCTGCGACACGCACAGCATCGCGCGCCTGTGAGATCTTCACGACGCTGGAATACGGACCGGCGCCGGAGAGCCACGCATGCGCACTGGTGAGGGCTTGCCTGGATCCGCGCTGCCTATACCCCTTCGCGGTCGTCAGGGCCCAGTTTTGCGCGCGGACTCCCGTGATCCACCGCGGCAGCTCAGCAGCTCCGCCCTCTCGGCTCCCGCTGCTCCTTAGGATCCAGGCTGGAGGGCGTTCCCTTGGCCCTTGACAGTTGCTGTCTCTTTGCCCTTTAGTCTGTTCTCGCGAGTCTTAGTGCCTGTGCGGTTCCACGCTGCAAGACTCACTGTACCGCTTCCCCGACTCTTCAGAATCTGTCCAGTGGGTCCTGTGGTTCTTCAGCGTCTCCTCAGAACCTCCTGTGATCCCCGCGGACTCAGAATTCTTCTGAGGGCCCTCAGAACCTGCGTCCATTTCCCGTGATTCCTCAGAACATCCTATGGCTCCCGGGGTCCTAGAATTCCAGGAGGAGGTCGCCTTTGACCATCTGGAGACCTCGAAGGAGCCCCCGGGATTGCTCAGGCATCACTTCAATACTTGTGAAATTCCTATAGTCTCAGGAACTCTCAGAACCCGAGGATGTATCAGAACTTCCTATAATTACCTTCGACCCCGCAGAATTATCTCGTGGGGCTCCAGCGATCCCCCAGAGTCCCCCAGAACGCTCTTGGGGTTCCCTGTATAAGCAGTGAAAGTCGCTCAGTCATGTCCGACTCTGCGACCCCTACAGCCCATGAAATTCTCCAGGCCAGAATACTGGAGTGGGTAGCCTTTCCCTTCTCCAGGGGATTCTTCCCAGCGCAGGGATCGAACCCAGGTCTCTCTCCTGCATTGCAGGCTGATTCTTTACCACCTGAGCCACAACAGAAGCCCAAGAATACTGGAGTGGGTAGCCTATCCCTTCTGTATAAGTTGAGTGCCTCGAATTTTCTATACAGGTCCCTCAGAATCCCCCATGGAGCCATCCTGATCTCACAGGGCCCTCTGGCACCCACATGTGAGAAGCTTGGGCTTTTCTGGAGGGAAAGAGGAAGAGGTTTAGAACAGTGGTTCACATGCGTGAAAGAAGATAAGACCAGAGCCTGGTGTGGGCTGTAGAGATGGGGAGGAGGGGATGAGGCAGAGATGCAGGAGGAACAGGGTTTGAGATACTGAGAGGGCAAGGACAGTGGCTCGTGTCTGGCCCTGTCCTTGTCCTCCCACCTCACCCAGGAGGAGTAGGGTCGCAGGAAGTTTGGGCTTGGTTATCACATGGCTATGATGAGAGGGATCTGGGGACAGCCTTGGGTCATGTGCAGGACTCAGATACTGCCTGTGCCTGGGCCTCAGGTCTGGAGACAGGGAGCTCACAGAAGAAAGAGAATTGAACAGTGGGAATGATAAGATTATTTAGAAATGTGTAGGGCTTCCCCCGTGGCTCAGCGGTTAAGAATCTGCGTGCAGTGCAGATGTGGGTTTGATCCCTGGATCAGGAAGATTTCTGGAGGAGGAAATGGCAACACACTCCAGTATTCTTGCCTGGAAAATCCCATGGACAGAGGAGCCTGGGCTACAATGCATAGAGTTGCAAAGAGTTGGACACGACTGAAGTGACTGAGCACGCACACAGTGTAGACTCAGATAAGTGGATCTGGGATGGAACAGAGAATTCCCACACCATCCCACACCATTCCCAGGTTAGAGATGGACTATCCTGAAATAGCAATAATGGCATAATACTCAATAAATGGCTTGTATTTGTTGGGTGCTTTCTATGTGCCAGCCTCTGTGCTTAGCAAGTGCTTAGTCACTCAGTTGTGTTTGACTCGGCAACCCCGTGGACTGCAGCCCACCAGGCTCCTCTGTCCATGGGATTCTCCAGGCAAGAATACTGGAGTGGGTTGCCATGCCTCCTCTAGGGGGTCTTCCCAACCCAGGGATCGAACCCAGGTCTCCTGCATTGCAGGCCGATTCTTTACCGACTGAGCCACCAGGGAAACCCCTGTGCTCAGCATGATATCATTTAATCCCCAAAACAATTGTGAAAGGGGATTATTGTCATTTAGTGACAGCACACAGAGGCTTAAAGAGGTAAGTAATTGGCTGATGGTCAACACAGCTTAAAAAAATGTTAAACTGAGATCTGAACCTGAACCCTGGATTCCAGAGCCCATGGGCCCCCACAACTCTTACCACCACCCCCCTGCCGCCCTGCAGTTCAACCTTACAATCTGTGGACCAGATTCAACCAGCTAACATGTTTTCTTTGGCCTGAACTTTATTTTTAAAAATGTGCATTAGTGGACAACTAATTTCAAGTAAACATCCGGGATTCCAGCTTCTCTTGAAAATAAAATTCCAAAGTTTGGCAACCTTTGGCTCACATTCCCTGACAAATATCATCTGGATCCAATAGCTAACTGTCTTTTTAGACAAGTCCTGAGTTCTTAGTCTCTACCAGTGGCCTCTTCTCACCCCCAGCATGGCTTGCCAGAACCCTGTGGAACATTCTTTCCAGGTTTTGTTTTTCTTTGGGGGGAGAATTTTGCAAACTTTCACAGAGTACTTAAATTATGAACTCTAATTCACCCATCACTCAATGTCAACAGTCATCAACATTTCATCCAGTGTTGTATTTCTTTGTTTTCTCTTTTTTTTCCTGGAGTGATTTAAAACCCATTGGCCTGTTAACTTCTCATAAATATTTGAATCTTCATTTATAACAGATAAGGACTCATTTTGCAACATAACCACCAGGCCGTTTTCACATTAGCAACATGAACAGTCATTCTTTAATATTGTCTAGTGTCCAACTCATGTTTATACATCCCCAACTTTTTCCAAAATGTGACTTTCCATGGGGGCCTTTGAATTTGGAACTTCTGAATTTTTACTTTACTTAAAAATTGTTTAACTTTAAAGAGAAATGAGGGCATTTCCCTGATGGTCCCATGGTTAAGACTTTGCATTTCCACCAAAGGGGCTGCGGGTGCAATCCCTGGTCAGGGAACTAAGCCCGGCATGCTGTATGGGATGACCAAAAATAAATAAGAATAGTAAATTTTTCTTTCTTTTTTAGAGAGGAAAACGAGGACTTTCCTCGTGGTCCAGTGGCTAAGACTCCGTGCTCCCAATGCAGGGGGCCTGGTTCAATCCTTGGTCAGGGAACTAGGTCCCATATGCTACAACTAAAGATCCTGCATGCCACAATAAAGATCAAAGACCCCACATGCCACAACTGAGACCCAGTGCAGCCAAGTAAATAAATTTTTTTTTTTTAATCTTACTAATTATAAAAAAGAAAAAAAATGAGAAGGCCTACCTGGCAGAGTAAGGGAAAAATCAGGAAGCTGAGGCATTGGGGATGCAAAGAGAAAACAGTCTACAGAAAGAAAAAGTAGGAAGGATATCTTAGATTTAGCAAGGATTTAGGGAAGACAGGACCAGGGAGACAAAGAAACAGGAAGCAGACAGAGAGGGTGAAATGAAGTAAAATTAATAGAAAGTCTTAAGTGTCCTTCTGAGCATATGATACATAGTGAGCCATTTAATTCTCACCACTGACCTGTGACATAGGGAGGGACTGTGATTATCCCCATCTTCTAGATGGCCTTGGGCTAGCCAAGGCCAGAGTATTATAAGATCCGGGCTAAGAGTGCCATCACACAGGGAGATGTGGAAGCCACCTGGCTTAAAAGTCCCACCTCCCAAAGAGACCGTGTACCAGTGGTACAGTCCGTGGACATTGCTTCCTGGGTCCTGTCAAGGGACATGTCCATCATAAGAATGCAGAGCATGCAAGGAACTCTCAGGGCTCTGACTTACCACTGGGTTGTTGTTGTTGTCCTTTTTGCCCTGTTGCTAAGTTGTGTCTGACTTTTTGTGACCCCATGGACTGCAGCACGCCAGGCCCCTCTGTTCTCCACTATCTCCCGGAGTTTGCTCAAATTCATGTCCATTGAGTTGGTCATGCTATCTAATCATCTC